AAAGCAATAGATCAAAGTATTGCCATAAACAGAACATGGCATGAATTTAAGAAAGGCAATGAACAAACTACCTCACTATATTCTCACAAGTATAATCAGAGAAGTAGCTGATAGTTCTATTAAGTGGCTCAAATGTAGGGAGAAATACTACGCATAAAGATTGATACTTTTAAATTTAAACTAAGATGAAGAGAGATTCATTGGGGATATATTATGGTGTGTTGTATACCACTTATAGAAAACATTAAATCTACAGATGATGCAGAGGAGACAAGTTAATATGCTGATAGACTTATTAGTTTAAAGATTTAAATATATTATAAAACAGGCTAAAACAAATAAGATGAAATGTAATACGAATAATTTAAGTTCAACCAATACTTTTACAAACACCAGGAGAGAGAATATGTCTTCGCAGGTCATTGAGGGGGAAAAAAAAATACCTGGAAGTTTTAATTGACTACATGCTCAGTGTAAACCCACACCATTTCATGGCTTAGAAAATCTTGACTTGTAGGTAGGTCTTAAATCATTAAGGAGGTAATAATTTCATTGTATCATGTTATAATAGCTGCCATTTTAACTGCATAATACATATTCATTGTAGAACATCTGAAATGCAGATAAGAAAAAGAAATTAAAGATTACCCACAATCCCACCAAAGATGAATATTATCTCCATTCTGGTGTTTTATCAACCCAGACTACTTTACACACATCATAAATGTTCACATACATTTTTTTGTTCTTATGAAAATAGGATCATACTAGGCTGAGGTTGTGGCTCAGTGGTGGGGGCTTGCCCAGCACATGCAACACCCTGGGTTCGATCCTCAGCACCACATATAAATAAATAAAATAAAGGTATTGTATCCAACTACAACTAAAAATATATTTTTTAAAAAAATAATATTATACTATGAATGCTCTTAATCCTTTTTTCTTTTTTTTAAATTCAACAGTATGTCCAGCCCTACTATTTTCTATACTGGTCAAATGGCATCCAGGGAATATTGTTCATTTCCTGCCACTATATTTTAAGAAGGTAATTCCCAAATTTAAGAATATGCAAAGAAGGGGCTGGGGTTGTAGCTCAGTGGTACAGCACTTGCCTAGCACATGTAAGGCACTGAATTCGATTCTCAGCATCACATATAAATAAATAAATAATAAAGGTCTATTAACAACTAAAAACAATTTTTTAAAAAAAGAATATGCAAAGAAGGCCAAGAGTAGTGGAAAATATGAATATTTAAGGTCTTAACACCTAGGATATACTGTCACATAACAGGCAAGGAAAATGAGAATTCTTCCACAAATTAACTAAATACAGGCACCCAAAGAACTGTCCTGACAAATGAATTAGACTACTTCATATTGACCCAATACAAGTGCCGACTACTGGAAGCTACAGGAAAGTAAATGAATTTTTTAAATAATGAGAGCTATGGGAAAGAAATGGAATAGATCTAGTCACTGGGAGATTTAACAGGGTTAGAATAACTAATCAGAGTGTGATGTTATACAGGAAATTTCTGCACTGAGTGAGAAGTTGGATTAAAGGGCCATTTCTATTTGAAGATTCTATGATTCCAATGAAAAATTGACTTGGAAATTTACTTCCAGTCTAATATAAAGCAAATCTTTAGTAATTCAGGCTTTAGGAAATAGAATCAAACAATAAACGCCACCATTATATACAACTATAATGTACCAATAAAAAAAAGTAGAGGAAAAAATAGTCTCATGTGCTTTAAAGGTACTTGAGAATAACACTAATGATGAACACCTATGTGCTTAACATTTTTCATTTATTACTTTATACCACATTTAATCCTTACAATAACCCTATGTGACAGGTACTATTATTATCTCCACTGTAGAAAAGGATAGTGAGGATTAGAGAGGTTTTTATGTTTACTTAAAAGCATTGTTACTTTTGCTGAAAATGACGGGGTCACCCAAGCATACCTGACTATCCGTCATACAGTTACCGCTCAGTTAGTACATAATAAGTAATTGAAAGCATCTTCAGCAAATTTCTCAGCTGGTAAACCCTTATAGGGCAGTCAACATTTTCTTAATTAGAAAAGAATTGATGATTTTTAAATTTAATTATTAGTAGCAAAAAAAATCTTCAGATTGGACTATCTAAATTGTCCATCTACCTTAAATTTTTGTGAATAAAAATAAATCCTGAATAAGATTTAAGATCTGTTAAAGGGGCTGGGGGTCAGTGGTAGCCGCACATGCCTAGTATGTGTGAGGCACTAGGTTCGATTCTCAGCACCACATATTAAAAAAATAAAGATCTATCAGCAACTAAAAAAAAATACATATATATATATATATATATATATATATATATATGGTAAAGCAAATGTGAATCACTAAATTTCAAATCCTTGGCATTACTAATTAAATGATCTTGGGCAAGTTATTAATCTTCCTATCTCTTTAGTCCTCCATCTATAAAATTAGAATCAATTTCTTATGGTTGACATAAGAAATGAATAAGATGATACATGGAATTATTTAGCATAGGGTCTGACACTACTACTACACAAGTAATAAAGCAGGCAGAAAAAAGTGCCAAACCTATTCCACAATTCATTTCAAAATATTAAAATATTTCTAAGTGTCATTAGGCTAGTTGAGGAGGGGGGAGTCACATTTTCCATTATTCTATTGATATCTTTTTTTTAATTTCTCATTAATATTTCTTTTTTTAATTTTTATTGTTGGTTGTTCAAAACATTAGATATCTTTTTTTTAATATTTTATTTTTATGTGGTGCTGCTAATGCCTCCCGCGTGCTAAGCAAGCACTTTACCACAACCCCAGTCCAATATCCTATATATTTCTAATGACAATAATCATAAAATAAGTGATAGCTAAGTAAAAAGTGTCTTGTTAGAAATTTTATTTTATTCAAAGGATCACCCAAAGAATTACAATTTCAATTCTGATTTTCTTTGAAGATGCTATTTTAGTTGTTTATTCAGGGTGAAACAGATAAATGCAAATTTAAATGTTATTAGTTTCTAATTTTACAACTTCATTCAAATTACTCAATGAACTTTTCTTTTAGTTTGTTTTCCATGTGCATTCCTGTTATAAAGCTACTGCTGCTACCTCTGACAAAACAAGCAAAAGAGAAAACCTACTATTTGAGATGTATACTGTTATTCACAATTTTGGCACTTTATTTGCTGTTTACCATCATTTAATAGTTGGTATTTTACTCCTAAACTTTGACATCTATTCTTTTTTTAAAAAATGACCCAACTGGGAAAGGAGTGTTTGAAAGATATCTGCCTTTGAATTCTGTCACAGTCTTTTTAAAATACCATTTGCCTGGATGAAATTAACCGAAGTTCTCACTGTTCTCCAAGAATTCTTTAGTTGTTTTCAAAGAAACTGTTTTGAGAAACTTCTTTCAGCATTCAGGTCTAGCCATAATGATTTTTATAACTAATGTAACCCCTGAGATTTACATCACTTACAACTTAAAATTGTAACTAGATAAACTTTTTCAATAAATTACCAGTGACTAAAGGCAGTTATGAGAACTGTAGTCGGAAATATGCATACATGGGCTACTTGTTTTTTGAAAGCGAAAATTTATTTAAAAAGAGCTTACACACAAGTCATCATTTCTAAGACTTATTGAAAAATATATGGTATATTCATTATTCTGAGGTAACTGTCATTCCAATAAAATGTCACTGTCAATGAGTACATATGATAACATACGGGGCTTTTAAAACTCTCATCAAACTATTTTCCAACTAAATTTAATTCACTGTAATATGAACTTTTCATTTTCACTATTAGCAGTATCGTAATTAATTGCACTGACCGCTACAACCTACAAGAACCCATGCAAAGAACACAATGTCGTCACTCAAAAGTTTGTATGAAGCCCTGTCAAGAGTAAAAAGGAAGTTTTTTAAAACCAAGAAAATCACTTGGGATTTTTAAAAATTTTACAAGTTTAGTTGGATTGCTTAAGAGATGTTGTGAGGTGAAGATATGATAACTGATGTCTCCAAAAATACGCAGGACAAACTGAATAGCCATGATTTGAGAAATAAAATAACTTTCCTTGAATTTTATGCTATTCAGGAGTCCTCCCTCCCAGCTGAGTTCATTTGTCCATCAATTCAACTTTTAATAGTTTCTCAAATATGCAAATCAACTTTGCTATCTCTAAGGTACTGCCTGCTGAATAAAGACCTTGACATTTTTTTAAATGTCGTCTTAAAAAGATTCTCCAAGCAAGATTCGTCTCACCTACAACACCTTCACATTAAAAGGCCTCTAGTATATTTTACACATACTATCCCAATCCAGACCAAGCATCTTGCATCCTGAGATAATAATCAAGTTTATGTGGAGGTGATTAAAAGTATTGCTGGGGCTGCATAATCTGCCTCATCAAGTTTTACACACTTCCAGAGTTGACGACATCTCCTCAGGTTCACTTTCTTCATTTTGTGGGGGTCATAACCCCAGAGCACAGCAAATGCCTTCTGCAAGAGAAGGTAGCAGCAAACCGAGGCTGTGGCTTTGGGAGGATAATTGCATGCACGCAATAGCTTCTCTGTCAGTTTCATTTAAATAGACCAAAAAAAAAAAAAAAAAAAAGGGGGGGGGGATTGAAGAGAAAAAAAAATAAAAAAAAAAAAAAAAAAACAGTGATGGAAATCCGATTTTCTTCAAACCACACTGATACATACACAAGTTCTGCAACACAGCTCAGAAAAAAAAGTAGCTGGCTGACGCATTGATGGAAGGCTATTTTAAAATTACTCAAAGAATCTAAGGCATCAATCTGGGAGTCTCATGCCTCCTCTCCATACACACAGTCTGTTTTCCTACCTAATTTAAGAATGAAACGCTGGCAGCCACCAGGTGCAAAAACCGTGAGGAGGAGGATGTATCCATCACAATGCATAACGAGGGGTGCCATCCCCAGAGCTGGTGCCCGTCCTTACCTTAGCAGATTAGACAGGGGCAGGGGTCCGGATCCACCGCCCAGGATCCCTCCTTTCCTGCCAGACAGGAGTTTCTCCACCAGAGCCACATTTCCAGTGCGAGCAGCTTCCAGCAGCTCCTGGTCCTTCCCCATAGTCCCTCACCGACTCCCCCAGAGTCCTTTCCCTCCTCGGGTCCTCCTCCCCGCCCACCCCCACTCCCCGAAATCCAGGGCTCTCCCGCCCCACCCTAAAATAATGCAAGCGCTTCAGCCCGGAGATATCCCTGCAGCCCACGCCGAGAACACAACGCTCTCCTCTTCGGGGCGCAGCTTTTACAATGGGGACCAGACCATGTCCTGGAAGAGGGGCAGGCGGAGCTGGGAGCCGCGACGCGCCCCTACAGCCAGCCACTCCCCCGAATTTCCAAGGCCTGGTTCCCGCGGGTGGGGCGTGAAGGGCTAGGGGGTCGGGGGTGCTTTTGAGGAGCTGGAGGGGGTGGTAGGACTGAGGAGGAAGATGAGGGCTGAGGCGGTCGGAGCAGCAGGAGGAGACTGTCCTCGCTGGAAGCGGAGCACAGCGAATGACCGCGGCGGCCCGCGAGCCCTCACGCCGGGCCCGGGTTCTCCTCAGCTTCCGCGCCGGCCGCCTCGGCCGTTACGCGGCAGCGGCGTCCGCGGCCCGCAGCGGGGAGGAGCGGAGCGCCGCGGCGGCGGCTCGCGTGGCCCTGGCCCGCGCCGAGGCAGGGCGGTGCGGTCGAGCCGCGGCGGGCG